CCGGGTATGTCACATAACCTGCTTTCTGGAATACCCCCCTGGTGTTTGTGAAAGTATTTGTGAAAAATAAAAAACAAAAAAAAGATCCCTTTGTGTCCCGTGTTCCCTTTCCCTTATTCCCCGCTTGTCTCGTCTTCCCTTCTCCCTTTCCCTTACCTTTCTGGCGATCCCCAACCCTTGACTGGGGATCGTAACATGTAATACACATAGATTGCGGTTTGGCATTTTCTTGCTGAAATATACAAGGCCTTCTCTGAAAAAGACATTGTCTTGATGGCAGCATATGTTGCTGCATTTATTGTTTGGCATTAAGGGTGCCTTCCCAGATGTGCCAGCTAATGCACTCACATCTCACACTTCTCCTTGTCTAACTCATCTTTTTTGAAAACTGGGAGGTGATATTTGTCAATAACAATAATGGTACTTATATTATTGACTGCTGTACCATTCTTATCGGTGCAGCATAATATATAACTTATATATCATGCACAAATGTTTATTACATTTTTGATGTAATATAATAAATGTATTACATTTTTTAATACAATCAGAAATTGTATTATATTTTGGTATTTTAATACATTATCGACTTATATTAAGAATGGAAAAATCATTACATTAATGGCAGTTATTACAATATTGACTGCTACAAACGTGTGAAAATTTTTGAGTGGTATTTAAATGACTACCATGTGCTGGTTGTGATTAACTGCAACTGTGACCTATTAGTCATGTGTATGTATAAGCGATCAGCACAGAGCCAAAGCTGTAAGCCTGTTTTTAAAGCAAACGAGCACACCTGTTTCTAGGTATGCTTTGTTTTGGGGCCATTTGTTCCCACAGAAGTAAATTAAGGCATAAATGCAGAATCTTCAAATGTTTTGTGACACTGAAACTAATTACGTGTTTATTGACAATATGATCATTCATTAATTATTATTATTTATTTTTTTTTACTTTCTTCACTTGTTCATCTGTGTGTAACTAACCACATAGGGAATGGCCTGTCAGACCTACACCCCATAATCTTCCAGTAATCAGATTCCTAGCAATTTCATTTGTGTTAGGAAAGGATAATACAGATAGCAGAGGCAGAAAGTGGGTTAGAAGTATCATAAACATCAGCTTCAGAGAATCACTTTGAAAATGCTTCACTGTAAGGCAGGAGGTTAAGCGATACACACACCCAGTGGCCAGTCTGTCAGTCTGTTAAACGTCAGCCTGCTCCTCCGTACAGCCATTCATGTGAATGTGAGTTAATCATAAAGGGCTGGTTATGACGGGGTTAAGGGCTTCAGTTACTGTCCAGCTGGTTAGCAAGCCTGGTGCTCTGGCTCTCAGCGATTTTACTGTGGTGTGGTTGGTGCTGTCAGACATGCTGGTTCCGCATCTCAGAAACAGCCACCTTCCTGGGATTTCTACACACTGCAGCATCTACAGCAGGGGTCACCAGCCTTTTTGAAACTGAGAGCTACTTCATGGGTACTGAGCCAAATGAAGGGCTACCAGTTTGAAACACCCTCCTAAACTCACCTAAACTTCATGTATAATAAACATGTTTTTAATGCTTTTTTTAGATATTGTCATTTTTAAATCTATATTAATACAAATGTGATTAAAGAAGAATAGCAACAAGATAAAATTAAATTTTAGATTCTGCTCACTGGTGAGTTGTGCTATTTTTAGAACAGGTCCGCGGGCAACTCATGTGGTCCTTGGGGGCATCCTAGTGCCCGCGGGCACCATGTTGGTGACCTCTGATCTACAGTATAGAGAAAATAGTGTGATAAACAAAAAACGGTAACACTCTACTTAAGGGGCACAAATAATGTAGCATTATGCTATTATGCTGTTACACAAAAAACATCCAGACGGGGGCGGTTCCGTGGGTAAAAACAGCTTTTTTTAATGACGGGTCATTGAAGAATCACCATTGTTAAAGCAAACAGGAAGACAGCAAGTACTAAATCAGGTCAATACAGCAGAGGTGTGCAGAAAGACTCAACTCATCGGAGGGAAAGAATATACTAGTTAGCATGTAGGTATACCTAACACAGTGTCCATGGTGTGTGTCTGGACATAACAGTTATAAGCCCACATGTAATGTGGCTTACATTAATCTGGAATGTGATACTCATTGGAGGATTGGTGTTTGATTTCAAATACTTTGATTTGAAATAACAAGTAGCCATATTCTCAAAAATAAATGATTGATAAAATATTGATAAAATACTGTAAGGCACGGTGAAGTGAAAGAGCATCCATGTTAGAATTGATTGCACAGAATATCATCAGTACCTAGTATTTTAAGTTGGCAATTTAATTTGTAAATTTTGTAAAGCTGATGCTTTATGTGTAATTTTGTTAGTTATATTGATACATTTAAGTTTAGGATTATTATTTATATTACAATCAAAAACCACTCTTCTTCCATAAGTGCTTAGCCAGAGCATTACAGTTTCCCAGTCCCGTCTTCGGGGACTCGCAGCCGGTCCACATTTTTGCAACCTCTGAGCTCCATGTCAGACAGAGTACTGTCTGTGTGTCCCCTAGGACCAGACTGGGAAACACTGCAGCACTTGGTCATGGTGAGCCTGCAGTGTGTACTGGGGAAGCAAAGGGGACAGTAGGTGGGGGCCCAGTTCACTGCATGACACTCTCAACTGTGGGCAGTCAGCCTCAGCTCATGTTTTTAGGAAACTCAAAAACACACAAGGTAGTCCAACTCCTTTTCCCTTTGCATGCTGGTGAAAAAAATAATCTGTAATCACTTAACTCAGTCTCTCGCAACCCAGTCTTCAGGGAACGCATTTTTGTTTCCTCCCAGCATATCTGAACCAGTCAAGAACATCAAATACCTAGTACAGTGATGTTGAGTAGAAATATGGGCTGTCTGAGGGTCCCTAAGGACTGGGTTGAGAGAGATTGAGTTAAGTGATATGCCCACATACTGATATTACATGTCGAATCATTTTGATCAGTGAATGAATAAAAAAAAAATATTTCATTGGATTCTCTCTGATCACATTTTGTTATATATATACAGAAATTCAGAAAATTCTAAAGGTGTCACAAATTTTCTGCCACCACTGTATTGACCTACAGGCCTGCCAGTGTTTTTCTGTTTAATCTGTATTTGTGAAGCTGAAACATGACACACACAAAAGTTAAAACTGAACAATTTTATTTTACATTATATACATAATGCTTTGAAATAGGAAAATGTTACTGCGGCAGAACAGGAAAACAAGCTTTTTTTTTTTGCAACCAACAGAATGAACTGATGAGAGGAGAAGTCCCACAATATACCTTCCATATACAGTATTCTGCTTGGTAGCACTTAAGTTTCTTTCACCACCAGAAAGACCCTGGGGTGCCTTGTCAGTCTCTGACAGCTCTGCGTGAGGTAGACTCACCCAGCACTTCATCGCTGAAATGTGAAATGTACGTTTTGGCAAACCATCGAACGTGAGAAATGACGACAACGACAACGACGATGAAGCTGAAGCTGATCAGAACGGCTTCAGCTCAGAGCTAAATTGGAAGATGGAATGTTACTCTTGATTCAGACAGTTTAAGAACACCAACATGAAGGACAATGCTTTGGGAAAAGTGCAACGATGATTAAGACTTAAGAGTACAACTGAACAAAGTCTCTACGATTTCGCCTAAGCCTGAATAGTATTGTTTTTATATCAGTCTTTCAGGTATCTAAGTAACAACAAGGCTGCTGTTTTTGTAAACTAGAGTGAAAGAGGAGGCCAGGACCACAGCTTCTGTGTAGGTATAGCTTGTATACAGATATTGCAGTGTATATTTGTATATTATACATATCAGATGTACACATACGTATCAATATGTGCATGTATATGTTACACACATATATATATATATACATCAATATCACCATTTCTGAACACTCTCTGTGCAAATTTACGTTCAGTTTTATACCGCAGCATTAAAAAACAGGACTGTAAATTGTTTACAATTAAAAAAAAAGTTTAAAAGCATATGGATTCAGAAGACCAACCCAAGAAATATAAAATATATTAGTGTTGTCAAGATGGACACTTCCCTACTTCCGAGTCTCCAAATGGCTCTGCAATGCTACTCCAAAGTGTCCCAGCAGGACAAGCCCTTAAAGTACCCAGTTTTAGCAGTGTGAACACCTGTACAATGCATTTTCACTGATACCTACATAACTGGACCTTAGTGCACAACCTCACATCTGTTGAAGTCCCTCGCTTCAAAAATACTACATTTTTATTTACAACAATTAAATATAAGTCTAATAAGCACTTGTGTGGTAGCATAAAATGGTATCATGGGTGGCAACACTTTATAAAAGACATTATAAATTAAAAGAACAATGTAATTTGTGCCTTTGTAACATGCCACAATAAATTAAAGACGGTATAAATCAGTCCCATCTGACCCCACGATGCTCTGAATGGTCTCAAAGGAAGTGGCAGACCCACAGAGCACATTTCCTTTCTTGATCGTCTGCAATCCCATGATGCACCTTGCTTAGTAACTGTTCTCATGGCCTGCTAAGATGTACAAGTTGCTGTGTGCTGTAGGGTTATCTGTGGGTCTGCTCTCCAAAACCACCACCCTGGAGGAAGAAAGAACAACATGAGTTAGTGTAAATGGTGTCACACTTACACGGTTGGAGGTCTAATTCCTGCCGTGTGTGTGTGTGTGTGTGTGTGTGTGTGCATGGTTGTTATTACATACAAAGATGACAGGAAACGGGACAAGAACAGCTCATTTCACTTACAAAAAGGTTTAAATTAATATTCATATTTAAAAAAACAAATCATAATAATTTAGAAAGTGCAAAGATGAGAAAAGATGGAGAGTGATTTTTATACAAATACAGAAATTTGGTTTGGGTCCAGCTATCCTCAGGCCACAGGGGGTCAGGAGTGAGCACAAAATGCATCACAAAATTAATCAATGACCATTTTTCCTGCTTCTAAATCTTGCATCAGTTTTTGTAATACACGTAATGTTTTAATAAAAGACATGCAGCCAATCAGCCTTGTGAAGAGCAAATAATACCATAATCAAGCATCTGGAGGTGATGAGATGAATTAATTAAAAAATAATGTATTTATACAATATGACTGATGATTTTCTGATACGATGTATCATCTTTGATACAGTGATTTGATGATGATGTATCACCCTTGATGCGATGATTTAATGATATGATGCATCACCTTTGATACAGTGATTTATGATGCATTATTCTTGTTAGATATCATGCTATGTACTGTACCACAGCAAATGCTACTACATAAAGCAGGAGGAAAAAGAAGAATACTCACCTGTCCGACCCCAGGAGCCGAAAGATCCTTGTATTATCAGAAATCTCTTGCGTAATCTGTTGCGAAAGGAGGGGATATAACTTTGGGGTTTTGTGTACATAAAACCACATGCTATGAATACATGACAGTTATGTCAGGAACATTTTAGGCTCCTCATAAATAAGTAGTTCTAATAATTATGTCTTTTTGGCTTGTAAATGAGAAAATAATGTCTTTAGGTACAAATATAAAAGCCAATTGTGTCATAAACGTGCATTCTAAGCCATGAATTATGCATGCAGTCTGCCGCATGTTGTGTTTAATGCAAGGCCTATTTTGCATTATATTTCTTTATATTCTTATATTGCTTTAGAATATTTATACAAATTTTGAACATATTACAACTCTGGAGGTGTTTCCTATAAAGCAGGACAGTGAATAGCACCCCACACCCTTCACCTACTTCGTTGGACTTGAAGCTCCGTCCCTGCATTCCGTGCTTCCAAAAAGCCAGCACGCTGTCCTGGAGGCACACTGCAGGAGGTGCAGCTAATTATTAACTGAGCAGCACATCATGTCATATGTAAAATCTGATATTTTGGAATATGATGCTGGGACAGAACTTCCAGGAAAATGTCAGTCGAATATGTCAGACGTGCATTTCACTTGTTTGTTTATATAAGTCAAGATGTGGCTTTTGGAAACCCAGGGTCATCAACCGCCTCATAAATCAGCTCGGGCATATGATGAATGATGCAATTAGCTGTGATTTTGCAATAAGGTGTCTGCGTGAAACAGTCTGAAGGCTGCAGACACTCCAATGACAGATGTGTTCTAAATGTCAAGATAGATTTCCATCAATGAAAGAAAACGTCTTTGGTGCACCAGCGAGGAAATCATCTTGCTACACTTTGGGCCACGTGAATATGATTACAGAACCGAGGAAAACACTAATCTGACGCAGCTGCTGTCAGTCAAAAGGGTTCTGAGGAAGTAGCAGAATACTGTATGCTTTAATTAATGACTCAGATCGGCTTTGCTCTGCCGTTCTCTGTGAGAAAGGTGTTTGCTCGCAACGGCATCCGTTTCCCTTGAATCCCAGACGAAACGCATCCAGAATCAGGTCGGAGTAATTTAGTTCTCTTCACGCTGACCTGCCCCTGCCAGTGTTACTGTGGGGGTCTGCAAGTGTCGCTTATCCCACATCACTTACATGCCGGCTGACTGAACAAAAGAGCCAATCAGAAGGTGGCATATTTGTCGTCGCAACAACCCCAGCACGCTTCCGGCAGAAGAGGGTGATTTGAAAGTAATACTAGCTGACACAGTGTGTATAATCCATCATAAACAATGTTCACACATGTCCTGCCAGAATCAAACCGGTCGCTTTCTCTACGTTATCATGATGCTTCGACTAGGGGTTTGTTCCCTTATAGTACACGGTGGGAGAATTTATCATGAGGAATTGAAACAATATTTCTGAAGAAAACTATGATTAAATGTGAGAAAGACTTACCTATCGCCTCAATTTGGAAGTTAAAGGTCAGCTCAGCGGACAGCTTTTTGCTGGATTTTAACCTCCCTTGCAAATTCACAATTTTAATACACCCTGGAAGAGAGCAAAGTAGGACCCCACAATGTAAATCAAATCAACACCGTATCACCACAAACTGATATGCTGACAAGCGGCAGGGAAGAGAAGCAGAGGAACTCACGATCAAGGCACACCAGGATGGTGTCCCTCTCCAGCTGAGTCACGTGGATCACGCACGTCTGCGGCATATCTGCAGCGGAAAAAGTCAAAAGATTAAATGTGCGCCTGCAGGAGGAAATGACATCACAGCGCAGACAGACATCTGACCAGCACAGTGCCCACAGACATCTGTCAATGAGGCACAGTGGACCTCATATATAAATCTGACAGTGGCCCCCTCGCGAGGAAGAGGTGCAAGCCTACACAGGTGACAGCTCACAGTGGCTTCTGCATAGCCGTCCACTGCCCGTAGCTCTCTCAGCACGTTACGGCTGAGTGGGTCATTTAGCCCTTTAATTAATGATATCTGACCCCAGATCTGCTTCCACGAGCCATCAAATGAGAAGCACAGAAACCGTCATTCATGTCACGCTTGGCCACTCTGTAGTCCCCGTAGTTACCATTGATATTTCACACAGGTCACATGACTATGACACTGTATCGTCACGCTATAGCCATCTGGTCTCAGAGCCAGCCCATCTGTGCTATTGTTATATACAGTACACACCTAACATACAATACTACAGTCAATGTCATTTGCATTTTTGTACTACTACAAACAATAATAATAATAATGATAATAATAATAAATGTCATGCACCACATAATGATGTTTGAATGAACCGCATTTACAATGGTGGTCCCATAAGATTACGATAAAGCTGAAACATTTCTATTGCATAGTAATGTGGTACTGCAATACATTACTCACAGTTTTTGGTAATGCTGGTATAAACAAAGCTACTGCACTGACAGTCATATTAAAGTATAGCACACACAGATATGTACAGTACATAATACTTGATAATGATAATTAGTAATGTTTTTACTATACTGTATTACTTATTATTATTCAGACTACACCATATAGCCTAGGTGTGTAGTAGGCTATATCATCTAGGTTTATGTCACCACACTGTATGATGTTCTTACAATGGCGAGATCACCTAACGATGAATTTCTCAGAATGTATCCCTGTCGTTAAGCGATGCATGACTGTAATAATAATTAATTAGTTCCATGGGGGCAAAGGGACTATGACAGGGACAGCAGATGCTGGTCCTAGAATGTTAAAGGCATTCTGTACCAGCTACGAAGTTCATTCCCTACTCGACTGCATTTATACATCCACGTACTGCACGGCCATTCGGAGGAGTGGCACCAAACATTACGAGAGCTTTGGGCTGAGGGCTGGTGCACCTACCTGACTCAATGAACCAGGAGGAGGTGGAGCTGGGGTTGACGGTCTCGAAGCGCACCACCTGGTTCTGCTCGGTGCCCTTGCTGACGGCCATGCAGATGAGGGGATATTGCTGCTCGGGCACAACAAGCATCTCGAACACCTCCAGTGGACATGGCAGCGGGAAGTCGATGTTCTGGGCGGGGAGTAGGGGGAGCGACACCGAGGTTACCATGCTGGCTGGCCAACGGAGGGGAGCTAAGGAGCGACTAGCGCTGAGAGTGAGCTCACTTTGAGGAACATGAACTTCTGCATGGGTTCCACCCACTCCAGGAGCATCACGCTGGACTGGAAAGCCCCAGACAGGTAGGTATAACCCGTGTAGGGGTTCCTCACTGCAGAATGAGAAACGAATAAGATCTGGGGGCCCGAGACTCGGAACAGTAACCAGATCAGCAAGCTCTCACATGGCCCATTCTAGGCCATGGAACAGATGCACCCAACAGTAGCAGAAAGTGCAGAAAGGAAACCTAAGGAACACTATGTGCTGGATTCACATTGTGGGGGGGGGGGGGGGGTTTGTCTGCCTCCTGACTTCCCCTACTCTCTGTAGGGCACTCTCTGGCTTTCTGTCTCACTCACGCCAAGTCTCTTTGTTATGAAGCTGCGTTCTGCATTAGATGCTGCTGGGCAGCTTGGCTGGGGACGGTTTGATAAGCAATATGACACTGTAAAGGGTTTCAGAAAGCAGAATATGAACCCGAGGTGAGCTTTCTTATCTGGGGAGTAGGTGCCCCCCCAACCCCAATGCAACCCCCCCCTCCCCCACTTCATTCACTCACCTACACAGCACTTCTGGCACCCCTTTGTGTCTGGAATCTTATTGGACACTGCAAACTTCCTGTAGGAGATTCAGAAGTGAGAGTCAGCCGCTGAGCTCTTCCTCCGTTTACGGTCAGCTGGACGGTTTAACTGGAGTGAGTTGTCCAAGCACTACAGCAGCCCCCCCGAGGCTAGAATACGAAGCCAGAGAGCCGGGCCAGCAGACAGGCGTACCTGGGAATGATTTTGTCGGGAAGCTTGTGAGCAGGAATGGCGACAGGGAGCTTCTGCATGTGTCGTGAGTATTCAAAGAGGCCCATCAGGTTGTGAGAGTGCAGCTGGGAGGCTTTTCCTGAGGAACGCAGGAAGCCCAACACCATGAAGATACCAAAATCCGTAACGTAGCACAAAGCTGGGAGGGTTACGCTTTATATACGTCATGATGCTACAAATCTGATGTTTTTGCCTTTATATGGCAAAAAGAACTCAATAATAAAAGCTCTAGGAAGACGTCTTACCGGATATGGAGACCAGACAGTTATTCATCACATAAAGCCAGGTGCACCTCCTAGGAAAGAGCTGAATTAAAGAAGCAAAATTATCCATCTCACTTCCTCTGTGCCTGGAGGTGAATTTCAGTGAAGTGTGTCACGTGAGCGGCTCCGCGGTGATACCTGCTCCATGGTCGTCTCATGCAGCTCATTGAGATTTAGCGTGTAAATGCCCTCCTCCGCACCAAATATCAAGTACTGGTCTGAAAAAGAGCAGAAGCCCATTTGCTGAGCGACAGCTTATCGGAGATGCAGGCAACCAGCAATGAGCTCATTTTAACTGACCAGTTTTGACTTGTTCAGTCTAATGTCAAGGGAAATAAAATGTAATTTGTACTCACTACACAGCATCTGATTGCTCAGTAAAGCCATATGGCCTATGGATTATTCATTACAGTCGCCTCCTTCAGCCAGTTGATGATTGGTATCACCAAGGAGATAACGGTCTAAACGAGGGCTACTCCTGACCTTCATGGTGCTTTGGTTAAAGCACTGTGATTTAGGATAAAGAAATACATAGTATATAGCAGTGTTTTCCAATCCAGTCCTCAGGGACCCACAGCCAGTCCATGTTTTTGCCCCCTCCGAGCTCCCTACCAGACAGTCCACATTTCTGCTTCCTTACTGGGAGCTGGGAGGGAGCAAAAATGTGGACTGTCTGTGGGTCTCAGAGGACCGGATTGGGAAACACTGATATATATTATAATAGTATAGTTACAAGAGCTCTACTCTTGCCAGCACTGATCCTTGTGCATAATAACACAGATAAATGTAAGGTAATCCATGCAGGGAGCAGAAATATAAAGTACAGATATTTTATGGGCTCCACTGAAATAAAGGTAGCTGATTACGAGAAAGATCTAGGTATGTATGTTGATGCTTCCATGTCCCACTCTCGCCAGTGTGGGGAAGCAATAAAAAAGGCCAATAGAATGTTGGGTTATATCTCTAGGTGTGTGGAGTTTAAGTCAAGGGAGGTGATGTTACACTTATATAATTCCTTGGTAAGACCCCACCTAGAATACTGTGTGCAGGTTTGGTCACCATACCTTAAGAAGAACATTGCTGCTTTAGAAAAAGTTGCAACGAAGAGCTATGAGAATGATTCCTGGTCTTAGAGGAATGTCTTATGAGGAGAGGTTAGCGGAACTGAATCTGATTAGCCTTGAGCAAAGGAGACTAAGGGGGGATATGATTCAGGTCTATAAGATTCTAACGGGTCTGGATGCTGTTCAGCCAAATGACCATTTCAATATTAGTCTAAATACTAGAACTCGTGGCCATAAGTGGAAATTAGCGGGAGAACATTTTAAAACAAATTTGAGGAAGCACTTCTTTACACAGCGTGTAGTTAGAGTATGGAATAGTCTTCCTGCTAGTGTAGTGGAAGCTAAAACCATGGGTTCCTTTAAATCAGAGCTAGATAAGATTTTAACAACTCTGAGCTATTAGTTAAGTTCTCCCCAAACGAGCTTGATGGGCCGAATGGCCTCCTCTCGTTTGTAAATTTCTTATGTTCTCATGTTCTTATACCAGCTCGCTCCAAACTCAATCAGCGGCTACGGGTCAGCAAACGCTCCAAACTGCAGAGTGCGTTAGCAGCCATGGGGTCACCCTGCAATCCCTACCTCTGGTGTCGGGGTTGATCCACGAGGTGGCAGAATGGATTTTTAGCGGACAGCCGTTGAAGACCTTGGAGAAGCATGCGCCCATCTGCAGGGGGGATGGGGGGTGTTTACTGATGCGACAGGCTTCATACGGAGCATTAGGAAATAATGGGCCAGCTGTGGGTCTATTTTCTAACCACAATCATTTACAATAATTAAAGTGTCACACTAATTAAATTGGGATTAATATATTTCCCATGAGTGCATTCATTGTGTTTATCTTTAATTAGCTGGACTAAAACTTGGAAAATAAGGAAATTAATCAGCAGCGAGACAAACTGTCACGTGCATTCGCATCCAGCACAAAGGAAAATATAATATAGTAATTTAAGTGAAGTTGGCTAAAACTCACATGGACTTTCGGAGTAGGAGGGAGACCATTGCTTATTGGTTTCTGCAAAAACCGGGAAAAAAACACAACAATCAAATAATCCTGGAAGTGAACCTGGTGACATTGACCACTGAGGGAAATCAGATGCGCGAAAACTGATTTTGCAAAAAGTGCATCTCAGCTGAGCTGTAAGGTGCACAGACTATGGCTTCCAGGAGACAGTCATACACACCCTATTTAAATAACAAAATAGCTTTTACTCAAAAATCCATTATGATGGAAGAGAGAAACTGAATGATAACATAATTCAGGATAGACTGGATGATACCATAAATCAGGAGAGACTGGATGATAACATCATTCAGGTTATAAAATTCTGATTACTTAAAAAAGGCCAAAAGTTTAATGGCATGTCATTACGTAACTGAGGGCACTTATGCGAACGGTTAGCCCAAGGAATACAGGACTCTTTATACCCAAAATTTAAAGAAGAATTTGCTGGAAAATATTTAGGAAAAGACCATGGTTTTGATAAGAACATGGTCTTTGAATCTGGATCTAACACTGACACTGGATCTAACACTAACACTAATTCTGATGGCTAACAGTAAAGGTTTCCTTAGGTACAGCTCAAATGATTCATGGCCCTTTTCCCCCTTAAAAGACCTAAAACTCACCAAACTGTCACTTTGAACATTATTATTGTTAGTTAAGACCACACACTCTGAATATGAATATGGTCGACCCTTCTGTCTCGCGACATTCCCTATCTTGGTTTCGAAGTATTATGCGGTTGGCATAAGAAATTAAATGGGAATTTTGAGAGGTTCTGGGGTTCTATGAAAGCCACAGACATACAAAAGTTTAATAATTTATAAGTGCATGAAATATCTGTAAAGTGATGGTTTGGAGGACGCCAAGAGTGTTTACGCCAGCCTCTCACATGATATCTTGCAATGATCTCACAGTCATCTTTGTATCTCATGTTTCTCATATCTTTTTGCATCGCTTGCCAAGGAGACCAAAAAATTTTACTCGGTTTTTCCAGATGGCAGGGTGCTGCACCCCTAACCCACATCATGTGGAAGGGGCCTCTGTACAAGCTTTTAAAAGAGTATTTCACCAAAAAGAGATTGGGGAAAAAAAACACAAAATCAGCAGTGATATACATACACAATTTATGCAAAATGGAACGAATTTAATCATGAAGAAACTCCTCATCTGTGTAACGAAATGCATCCCTAACCCTATGAATTAGCCACAAACAGATGCACACGCACGTGCATGCAGCAACTCACGCACAGCGTAAACACATTAAAGGGCAGAGGATATTCACGATAATTGTGGCAGGAGTGATGCCAAATCCCACTGAAGATCAGAAGGGGCAGATTTTTCTTTCATGTAGAATTCGTCTGCTCTCGTGTCATTTGCCATGTAATGGTGTTTTTCAGTACCTAAGCATTCAAATAGTTTTGAAGTCCACAAACTCTCAGGCTAATAAATCTGGCTTGTGAGTTTGTTTACTAAAGTGTTTTTTTTTTTTTTTACCGGAATGTCCTTCTTGTCCTTCCGGATGGGGACAGTAGGGGGCATTGTCGACTGTTTCTCTCCTGTGGCGCTCTCCTTCTCCCCATTCACTTGAGCTGGGCTCACCTCGTTTCCTATAGGAGGGAAGGGGATGAATTGCATTGACTCTCTTAGATGTTACATCCCGCAGCTGATGCTGCACCTGTACTGATGATGCGCACAGAACCCTTTAATCCTGGCCTCTTCTACAGCGGAATGAGGGAGGAGAAGCAATGATCAGACAAGGAGCCTATTGGCAGATTATGACATCACTCCAATGCAACATCATACCCCCCCCTCATTAGCAGGACCCTTCTGACATGCTGACTCAAGGTAGCACTAGTAACATGATGCGCTGCCCCGCAAAGCATCATGGGAGCGTGTTAGGCTGCCAGAGTTTCAATAAATAATGTCAACGTCGCTACTTTGTAATTTATTATCATATCAGCTGTTTGACTGCAGTGTTTATTGGCCACATTGTGCAGCTGATGTGCTGCTTTCTGAATCTTCTATGTTACACACAGAGATGTTATGCACATGAAATACAGGGAGCTGCACCTATAAAGGGCCTGAGACTCCAATAACATGGAATTCCAGGTTATGTAAGCAAGTGTTTCTGTACGAACATCCTTACTTTAACGGCGAGTTCGATTAAGCTGCCTTGTACTGTAACCACTCTAAATGCTGTCAGAGCAAACCCTTAAAATATCAGCAGTCATTTTCCATCTTTAAACATTCATGAAAGCCCTATGAAGAGGCATCAGTCTCCATTTCGAGGCATGGTTTGAGAGCAAGCATGTTGGGGATGCATCATCATCCCCATCATCATCATCAAAGATTCGGCAGGTACACCGAATGGAGGATTTACACCAATACATTCATTTCCTACCATTCTGTCGTGATCTTCTAGACCAGTGTGTCTTAATCCAGTCCTCAGGGACCACCAGACAGTCCATGTTTTTGCTCCCTCCCCTGAGGACTGGGTTCAGAAACACTGTTCTAGAACCAATTACCTAGGCTGCTGCGCTTCTGTGGGGGGAGTCGCGGGGGTGGGGGCCGGGGGGGCACAGAGGTGGGCCGTGCTGGGCTCTCAGTTGCTGGACAGCGCTTAATGGTCCCCTGTCCATTGTTCTCGTCCAGCGATGAGCCCTCCTGGAAGCCACTGATGGATTTCGGCTTGGAGAAGAGACCACAGGAGAGAGTCACGAGCGACGGGGTCACGTGACGTGGCGGGGTCACGTGACGTGGTAGACACCATCTCCAGTAAGTGAGGAACTGAACACGTCACACATGACTTTTAAATGTCTTACAACCAAGATTCTGTTAAACAACACATGATGAACTTTTTAAAAACATTAAGCATCCATTTTTCAGCAGGGAAAATGAGATGAAAAGATGACAGAACTGATGGGTTTTACTAAAATGGTGTTTGATGAAGTAAAACTGCAGAAAATCCCCCCAAAGTGAACGTAAAGCTGCCTTTTTGGACGTGTTTATCCTAGACAGTGACGCTCATCATACCTTAGGGGGCAGCGGTGGTGGCACTTTGGGCCTCATAGTGGACGTAGAGGAGCTGGAGAAGAACAATGCATGCATAATAAATGTTAGACTATAAAACTAAATTACCCTTAAGTACAGCACAGGACCGTCAGGCTAAGTGATTAAAAGTAAATCAGGCAGTCACTGCTGTCATTAAGGCTGCACACAGTCCCATGCTCAGCTGTAACGTCCAGCCCAGAAAAAAATTCAATTCCCATCACGACCTTCGGACAAGCAGGGACACCCGATGGTGGCGGCACAGAAAGGAAAACCACAGTGGAGAGCATGCAAGATGACGCCGGAGCAAGCTGACACAGGAGACGGGGGAGGGGGGCGGCGGAGAGTCGGGTGTCACTCGGACTCCACAGAAGCAAGAACAGGCAGATTCAGGTAAGTCGGAAGTGGGATCGGGGGGTAGGCCATGCAGAATGAAGGTGTGGATGAAACCAAAGAGCCCTTCCATTTCTCTTTTTTCTCTCTCTCATTTTTCTTTGGGTGGCGGGGGGGGGGGTTTGCAGAAGGAGAACGTGACTAAACTCGAATATGAAAGGACTTACTGTTGAGTTTCATCATCATCACCATCATCATCATCCTCTAAATGAGCCACATGTCCCCTGAGGAGATGAAGAAGGTAACATGGCTCAGTGTCCCGCTAGCACTAGGATTTCAGCCGAAAGCCCCCCTCCCCCCCCGCTCTGGGGGCCATGTGTCTGGCCCTCCCAGTGCGAAGCTCTGATGTTCGGTCTTGCTGCTGAGTTCTACGGGATGTCACGCTTATCAGTATGGCGACTGCGGCAGCAAGACTAGAACAGGGCGGTCCAAGCAATGTAGTCCTGCTGGACAGGCAGGGGTGGGGGCGGGACTGCAGGGGGCGCTGTTAGGGAGCATCGAATGTCACTGCGGAGGAGACGGATGTGGGACAGCACCAACCTCTGGTGTAGCTCCTCCTCCACGGACTTCAGAAGGCTCCTGGGAATGACAAGAAAGGAGCAGATGCAGCAGCTGGTAGGCATAATGTCATTTCCTTTGCATGAAGGAAGTACCCACATCTCAATTTTTGAAGCTAACCATGTGCATACAAACAGCCACGTGATGTTATTACCAAGGCATCTTCAAATTGATGCCCAGGCAGCAAATGGCAGGGAAAGGTCCGGCTTGCATGAAATGCCATTTCCCATGTTACAGTGCGAAGGAAGCTTGGGTGAAAATGTCACGAGGTGCTGGAGAGATGACAGCCAATAGGAACGAGGCTCGATATTTATCCCAGAGCGGATGGGAGGTGGTGGGCGTGCTCTGAGCGCAGTGAACATTCAACCCACTGCTACAACACGATTATCTCAGTCTCACGCCTCAATTTAGCAGAAACTCTCTAAAGCAGGAAGGTCAGGAGAACAGCGCCAGGGGTCTGCAAAGACGTTCGGCAAATTAATGAGATGGTGTCATTATTACCAACTCCACCAGTCAGAACCAAAAATATTCAAAGGGAAAAACAAAGTATTTCAAGTATTAAAGCCCCACTCCTATGTATTCATGGTGGGGGGGCTTTCTGCTGTCTGGATTTATTAGGGAGTCCCAGGTTCAAGAAAAGGCCTCACCAGACGGGTGGAGCAGTTAATGTTTTTTGATGGATTAAATGGAATAATAATATTTAAGATCCATCCATCCACTTTCCAACTAATTATCCAGTACATTGTCATAAAAACATATCCCAGGATGCATAGGGCACTAGGCAGGGGGCTCCCTGGACGGGGTGCCAGTCCATCACAGGGCACTAGGCAGGGAACTCTCTGGACGGGGTGCCAGTCCATCACAGGGCACTGGGCAGGGGACTCCCTGGACGGGATGCCAGTCCATCACAGGGCACTAGGCAGGGAACTCTCTGGATGGGGTGCCAGTCCATCACAGGGCACTAGGCAGGGGGCTCTCTGGACGGGGTGCCAGTCCATCACAGGGCACTAGGCAGGGGGCTCCCTGGACGGGGTGCCAGTCCATCACAGGGCACAAACAGAGACACACACAGACAATATGATGCTAACAGTTCACTGCTGGATAAAACTGGAAAGCTCTCTCTCTCATGCACATAGACATGCACTCATTCACTAATGGTGGAGAGCCATGTCATGCAGTGTGACATTTACATTTTAAATGCTCTGGACAATGTTTCCTTGATGTGCCAGTTTGTGTATTTTTTCCTTATAATTTACAAAAACAAGAAAATCTTGAAAATCTGTTTTGTGTTAGTTCACGTTCATATTTTATAAAAATTCATTTTGTGATTGCAGTAGCGTTTTTCTGTGTTTAATAATAAATTAAGGTGCGGAAACAGGCTATTTAAAACAACTCCAAAATACAGTACTTTGGCAAAACCAATATACCAATATAGAAACATAAGCTAAAGCAAAGTTTTATTTTTTTAATTCACCATATATTAATATTCATGTCCCTGCCTAACGAGCGCAAAGCAAACCCTTTTCTGAGGACATCAGGGCACACACCACGGTCTGCACCCGACCACCGCTGAATTAAATATTCAATTAAAACAACAGGCGATTTATCAGAATTCTCACTCTATGTGTGCTGCAAATCCTAATTAGTGACTGGGTTGACTTTTTAATTTATCGGGGCATTTTTCAGATTAGTGGGGAAAAAATGAGCAGGAGAGATCATTTCTAAATCTGTCTTGTAAATACTGAAATTTGAATTGGAGAGGGGACTTGGGGACTTAGTGACTAAGTGACTATGGCTGATACAATAGAGCCTCTAAATTAATAAAGTGCATTACGGAAATCAAAGGAATCCCAGTGCTTGCCACTGACTGCTTTGTGTCGTTACGGAGTTAAAACGCCAAAGCTGAACACCATGCCTTGTTACACGCTTACTAAAGACTGCACGACTTTCTGCAGCTTTGATTTAGGTTGGATTCACCGTTAACTGCTCGTATTATACAGCGGGGAAAATAAGTATTGAACGCATCAATATTTTTCTCAGTAAATATACTTCTAATGGGGCTATTAACATGAAATTTACACCAGATGTCGGTAACAATTAAGTAATCCACAAATGTAAAGAAATCAAACAAATAAGTCCATGAATTAAGTTATGTGTAAGGAAGTGAAGCGACACAGGGAATAAGTATTGAACACATGAAGAACAGGAGGTGCAAAAAGGCAGGGAAATCCAGGAGACCAGCTGAAATCTGTCAGCAATTAGAAAGCAATCCTGCCCCTATCGGTGCAAATTAATATCAGCTGGCTTAGTCCTAATTGATGGCCTATAAAAAGGTTTCTCATTACCAAGGTGTCACACGAGAAGCATCTCATGACGGGAAAAAGCAAAGAGCTCACTCAAGACCTTCACAACTGGTTAACTAATAGAAAGCAGCGAGTAGTTATTAGAGGCACAATGTCACAGTGGGCCTGCGTTCATAGTGGGGTACCGCAGGGTTCAATTTTAGGACCACTATTGTTCCTAATTTACATTAATGATAATGACACCAATACATACAGTAAACTGGTTAGAGGTGGGTGGTGTAGCAGATACTGATCTAGCAGCAGAGAGGCTACAATGGGATCTTGATTTAATTAGCTACTGGGCTGATACCTGACAGATAAAATTTAACATAGATAAATTAAGGTAATCCATGCAGGGAGCAGAAATATATATTACAGATATTTTATGGGTTCCACTGAAATAAAGGTAGCTGATTACGAGAAAGATCTCGGTGTGTATGTTGATGCTTCCATGTCCCACTCTCGCCAGTGTGGGGAAGCAATAAAAAAGGCCAATAGAATGTTGGGGTATATCTCCAGGTGTGTGGAGTTTAAGTCAAGGGAGGTGATGTTACATTTATATAATTCCTTGGTAAGACCCCACCTAGAATATTGTGTGCAGGTTTGGTCACAATACCTTAAGAAGGACATTGCTACCTTAGAAAAGGTGCAACGGAGGGCTACAAGAATGATTCCTGGTCTTAGAGGAATGTCTTATGAGGAGAGGTTAGCTGAGCTGAATCTGATTAGCCTCAAGCAAAGGAGACTAAGATGGGACATGATCCAGGTATATAAGATTCTAACAGGTCTGGATGCTGTTCTGCCAAATGGCTATTTCAATATTAGTTTAACTACTAGAACCCGTGGCCATAAGTGGAAATTAGCGGGAGAACATTTTAAAACGAATTTGAGGAAGCACTTCTTTACACAACGTGTAGTTAGACTATGGAATAGTCTTCCTGCTAGTGTAGTGGAGGCTAAAACCCTGGGTTCCTTTACATCAGAGCTAGATAAGATTTTAACAACTCTGAGCTATTAGTTAAGTTCTCCCCAAACGAGCTTGATGGGCCAAATGGCCTCCTCTCGTTTGTAAATTTCTTATGTTCTTATGTCGCAAAACATATTGATGGCATTGGTTACAGACATATTTCCATACTTCTGCTTGTTCCAGTGAGCACCATTGAGGCCATAATCCAGAAGTGGAAAGAACATCATTTCACCATAAACCAGCCATGACCGGATGCTCCTCGCAAGATTTCTGACAGAGGAGTCAAAAAGTAATCAGAAGAAATGCACATCACCCCAAAGACACCAACCCAACAGTGAGGTTTGGGGATGGGAACATCTTGGTGTGGGGCAGTTTTCAACATATGGGACTGGCAGACTTCATATAATTGAAGGAAGGATAAATGGAGAAATGTAGAGACATTCCTGATAAGAATCTGCTGCCATCTACCAGGGTGCTGAAGATGAAACGAGGGTGGACATTTTAGCAAGACAATAAAGGAAGCCAAGGAAACTAGAATGGCCCAGCCAATCACCCGACTTGAATCCAATTGAAAATCTATGGAAAGAACTGAAGATCAGAGTTCACAGGAGAGGCCCCTGGAACCTTCAGAATTTGAAGACAGTTTGTGTGGAAGAATGGGCCAAAATCACACCTGAGCAATGGATGCGACTAGTTTCTCCATACAGGAGGCGTCTTGAAGCCGTCATTACCAACAAAGACTTTTCTGCTAAGTATTAAATACATTTCAGTAAGCGTGTTCAATACTTATTCCCTGTGTCAATTCACCTTATTATAAATAACTTAATTTATGGACTTGTTTTGATTTCTTTATGAGTGGATTACTTGGGTTGTTACCAACATCTGGTGTAAATTTCATGTCAATATCCACATTAGAAATATATTTACTGAGAAAACTGTTGACGCATTCAATATTTATTTTCCCCACTGTAAAATGACAAAGCGTGGCATGTTATCAGCTCCTCAAGCTGCCTGATGGACTGACTGTACCACAGAAATCTGGGCCAAAATCCTCATCGATAAGCTGGTTGATCAGTGCCACTCTATCAGCTCAGATCCTCCCTCCCATATCTCAGCGCTTTCATCCAGCAGATGGAGAGAGACGAAGAGCTCAGCGATTCGGCCAGAGGGCCCGTCCCCCAACGGGCCCCCAAGCTGCCTCGAGGCGGTGGTTTGACGCCGTCACGCAGACACTCGCTCACAGACGGGCCCAGACACAAAGTCGCAGCCACAAGGCCGTGAAATTCCACTTACTTATTCCCTCCCAAAAACGAGTTTTCCGGTGATCCATGTGGGAATTCCAGCTGAAGATCCTAGGGAAAAATAAGAAATAACTCAGCTTCGGAAAGCAGTTTGATGGTAAACAGTGCCCAGTGCCAGGAGGAGGACAGCATCCACTGCATCACGGCTGCGACACGCCGCCGCTCATGCATCAGGTGGGTGTGTGGCTCTGGGGGGGGGGGGGACACACGCTCCTGAAGTGCTAGCGTGTAGCACTGCCACGAATAGCTACATCATGCAGGTTCGCTTTTAAATAAACAAACACCGGTAATTACTGTGAAAACATTAAACGGGCGGTTAATTCACAGAGAGGGTGACTAAGAGGTTGATTAACAATGGCAAAATTAACCGCTACAGCAAATTAAAGCAAAGAAAAATAAAAATAAATAAATAAAGGCTTGTTAGTAGAAAAACACAACACGCATGTATTTGCATAAACGAAGTGAAATTAACCACCGCAAACACTGTCAAAGGTCAAGCCCACTCGGGCGATGCAGAACCGATAGATCGCTTCAGACAACTCAAATGAAGGGCCGAGTCGTCCACGAGGGCTGGGGACAGCTGTATCTTATGAGGGAGGTCTGTCATAGACACAGGAGCCATCCGTCATAACACACTGGAGTCATACAGAGCATCTATCGCGACACCATTAGCAGATAACATAGCGTATGATCACCAGCCATGGCATGTGGCTACCTGCAGCTAACATATCAAACGACGCTACCATCCCGGTAACAATTAACCGTAACCTTAAACATAGCTTTGCGGTAGAGTTACTGTTAACCAAAATGCATCATTCTAAAGATGTAGCTAGAAAGTGTAGTAATCACCATACAGCAAAAGCTCGTTGTTACCATTGAAGTATGAAGAGAATATTACACTCAAAGGATGATCCATAAATATTTCCCTTCCTAATTGGATCCTGTTCATTATCATCGCTCAAAAATCAGCTTGATGTGCAGCAGATTAAAAGGCCAGATGCCTTAAAGCCCCAACGTTCATTCTGCATTTCGCTTGTTAGTTCGTTTATTAATGGCACTCTATTAACATTCTCTCCAAGGTTACCAAAAATTACAGAGCTGGTTATAAAAGGAAGAAAAACTAAAATAAAGCTGTGCAAGGGGAGGGCTGGTGCTGCTTTCCCTAAAAATGATTAGAAAAAAAAAACAAGGAAAAGCAAAAAAAAACAAAAAAAAACAAAAAACAAAAAAAAACAAAAAACAAAAAAAAACAAAGCAGCGTTTTTAAACATAGTTACTGTGAGACTTGCTGCGTTAGCATATGTGGAAAGTATTCCTTGTACAAGACACGGGCAAGATGCCATTCCCAGGCTGTCACTATGCCTTTTTGGGACTGAAGAGGCAAACAAGGACAGGACTGAATGTTCCCACCTTGCGATCTCACTTGGCGGGGGTGCATCAGACCCCAATACTGAATATTAAAAAAACAGGAAAACGTTCAAATACTCTCGTGTTTAAACATTAAGCGCTGCCTGAAAATAGGTCTGCTCAGTAAATCATTCACACCTGCAGCACAGCAGCTGATGTTATCTTCTATCCGAATAATTGCTTTAACTAATTAATTGATTGTTGGGATGCAGCAAAAAGCTGCAGGGTCTTGCGGTTTTCCTCCATCGCATTTGCTACCATGGTCCTCATGCCTGCATGCAGTATTTATGCGATATCGCAGGAATCATTAGTAAGGACGCATTAGAGCTGCGGCTCTTTGGAGTTTTGAAAGCAGGTCAGAGATTTTGAGCTTGAAAGGAGGTTATCTGTCAGTCCGTGTCGATTTATGCGGCCAGAGTCACGACTCTTCCAGCACGTTCCAGGACCTCACTGCCACAGGGCTGCATGGGTGCTGAGTGCCTGATGCAACACCCTCAGCATCAACCGCACCGTCTGTGACAAAATCCAATGGAGGAAAAAGTTGGAGTGAGCACAAAAAGCCTATTGTAATCTAGGGGGGCGCTGTGCAACTTGGTAGTTAGCAATCTGTGCCAATATCCGGAAGGCTGTAGATTCGAATCCCACAACAGGCAAAGCAGTCACATCACCATCAGGACGCTGAACAAGGTGCTTAACCATGAATGCCCCAGGGGCCATCCATGCTGGCTGACCCTGCACCAGGGTTGACCAGTTCCGGTCCTGTAGGGCCAGAATCCAACACATTTTACAGATTTCCCTAAACCAGGTGATTAGCTGATAAAGATGAGTTTCAGCAGGGAAATCTGCAAACTATCCGGAACTGGGGAACTCTGCCCTCTACACTCCGACCCCAAGCCTTGCTCTCGGATGTCACCTTGAACAAAAAGCATCAACTAAATGTAAGTTTATAATGAAGTTAGAGGCTTATGTGATACAGCAGGATGTAAGTTACAGATTAACTGTAATTGTTGTGAACAAAGAAATATGAAGGATGTTAATAAGGATGAAAATCCAAGCAACATTAAAATTTTAAACAGCGTCTCTAGTGAGCCAGCGGGGAGCAGAGAAACGCCAAAGGGTTTGGCTGAATCTTCGGGTTTCCATGGCGACTGATCAGAAGACATGGTAACCGTGCCCTAAGGTAAAGAAATCCAGCTCAGCCCGTTAGGGTTTAAATGGGGTCAGCTGGGCAGATTTTGGGAGGAGAAGAAATCAGCGGCGTACTCCCACTGAAAAACTGTCCAGCCCATGTGTTGATCAGGAGGACTAGTTTAGCATTTTGGTTTTGGTCAGGGATTCCTTTTGGGGTTAGTATGAGGTGGAATTTGAAGGGGCCACATCCTTATTTCTGTTTTCAGTTTGTTATGTTTACGTTGGTCCTGCTACCTGACATTGTCGTCTTAAAATGATGTGATGCGCAGTATTTACTGAAGGCTCAGGTGAAGCGGCAGCATGTGGAACCCAGGGCACACATTTCATGTCTGCTAGATGATCGATGCATCCTACTGTGAAGCAGCTTCCCACACGTAACACTCATATCATCATTCCCGCACAGCTTTCCGCTGACACAGGGAGCATTCAAGGTTGACCGGCTTCCTTCAGAAACAGCCACATGAGGGCGCCCCCTTCAGCACAGAGCCAGAACTGCAGTGGCTTTTCCCACAGCAAACAGCTTAAGCACATGTAGGGTACCAAGAAAGGCTGATTCGATTAAGCTGCAGTCTCTGGCTGCACTTAAACCCATACTTGACATTACAACCTTACTGGGCTGACGGTGACACCATCACACTAACCTCATCACGTTAAGCCTATGCCCCTCAATGCAAATATAAACTTACACTGTGGGCTACAGCAATCACCAGTTGTGTTATTTAATTTTTTTTTTTTAGGAAAGATAAAAGGGAAAACATGTTTTAATGATTATAAATTCCCTGTATTGAAATACAATAGGACACGGTATTAGGGAAGAGCAAACTAAATGTAAATTTACCAGGTCCAGATGCAGCTGCTGCTTGGCAGCTCAAAGTTGTGCGATACACACATGGCAGATTAGGGCCAAAGGACAATTAACAAAAATGGCCACCTGTCCATCTGTCCTGCACAAGCGAAAAGAAAAGAAGGTAAGCTAGTCCTCTCCCTTTCAGCTGGCCCTTAATGCTGAAATTTCCCTCTGTATACATAATCCAACCATCCACACATCGGTAATCGGCACAGAACCATGGTGATCCTTGATTCTCTCTCAGGAAGGGCAGGTGTAAGTCAGGAGATGAAACAGGCAGGATGCCCGTCTGTAGGCGTGACCTCTGATGCTACCTCACCGTTAATACCAAAGGGACACTGTGACCTGAATATTCTATTCTCTTACCGCAGAGCTGTTTGTTCTTACTTTTTTTTTTAATTAAACAAGCCCAAGTTTGACACTGGACACATTGCACAAGGCGCCTGAATCAAGCAAATCAATACCAACCACGTCCCTCATAACAGATCCAGACTGCTGAGCGATTCTCTTTCTGAGATTATATTCTGCAGCACAGACATGTCAGTTCCTTATACTCTCTTGGCCAGGTGCTGCTCAAAATGCTTTGCTACCCATAATTCTGGCACGGTATATCCCTATTCCTCCACGGTGCCACCAGTGCTCTCGTCTGCATACCGTGCTCTGTACCAACTAAATTTATCACACTTGACTGAATTGTGCTTCGCTTTAACAAAGTGTTTCTTTTGGGATGTCACCATACAGACCGGTTCTAATTAAGTGTACATCTGAAATTAGCACTGCAAAATATAGCTATATACAGGTATCAAATTACTTATATAACTCGATGGCTTCCTGGACCTTCAATGGTAATAATGGTTATTTGTTTACTGAAGCTGACCGCTTTAGATACAGACAGACAGATGAATGAATATATCTTAATTCGCTGACCATCCTAAAAGAGTTCAAGGTGACTGAAAAAGGTCCTGCTGGTTTCCCAGCAGATAAATTGTTTTCATCATGGATGGAGCCTACCAGCACTGTGACTGTGCTCCTGGGGACCCTGTGTGTGCGTTTGAGGACTGTGCTTCTGGGGACCCTGCGTGTGCGTATGAGGACTGTGCTTCTGGGGACCCTGCGTGTGCGTATGAGGACTGTGCTTCTGGGGACCCTGCGTGT